ATATTGATTCTCATACGGATATTCTTGTTGCGTCTAAAAAATTAATTTATTACTTGTTCCGTCTACTGAAGGTCGTTTTTTGGTAAAATCTTAACCAACTTTTCTCTTGGTAACCAACCCCTATAGTAAGATAAATATTCTTCTGTTAAGCATATTCGTTGAAACGTTGCTTAATTAAAAATGTTATCTATTATGATCGGATAGGCACAAGATGTAAGATCCCTACAGGAAGAACCTCTTATGTCATTTGTCAAACGTTGTAGGAGTTCACAGAGATTACCAAATGAAACTAATTAAGAAGATAACGGGAAGATTGTATCTCACGCTCCCCATTACACATTGTTCTGATGAATTACGTCTTTCTTCGAAACGGCTGTGTGCATTCGTTACATCCTGCCATTTTTTCAGGAGACTACGCAGAGAGTAATATTTAATCCTGTCTTATCTACCTATTCCAAATGTATTTTTTAGTCTACTCTTATCTCATCTCCATACAGTTTTTATGTAGTTATATAATTGAATATAAATTACTTGATTTTTTTTTCGAGAACTGAGATATTAATTTCTGTCTTAATATAACATTTTGATTTAATAATCTTCTCTCAAGACAACTTAATTTATCATTAAATCCAATTAAATTACTCATATTTTTTCAAATAATTTGCAAAATAGAAACAAAAATTTTATTATTAATTTATGTCCATGTTATTCCAGAGAAGATTTATTTTATTGTTTTAAATAGAATGATAATTTAATACCTTTTTCTGTATATTTTCCTATATTAAGATCACAACCAAGTAACTTGGATTTTTCGTTCTTTATAATACCTTTATAATATTTGTAACTATTATGAACTACAAATATAATAAATGTAAAAATACCGTGAGTTACCGAATATCAAATCACTTAAATTAGTCCGGAATGTATTACACACATAATAAAAATTATGATAATATTTTTAAAAGACTTTATAACATTTTTTAATTTAACAGGCAGAAAATATTCTAAATAAATGTTATTACTGGAATGTGTATATAATATACTATTGTGTATATAATATATTATAATTAAATAATTCCATTTATAATTAGAAATGTATTATTTAAATTTTCAGTATACTTTATTTTACAGCAAACTTTAATTAAGCTAATTATCTATTACAAACGGTATACAAAGATTATTAATTGACAGTTGCATTTAAACAATATTTACTTACGCATCAAAATCTTAATTAAGCTTATATTAAGGCAAAGTCTAACCAGAAACGTTAAAGTCACATGCACCTTCGAAGTTCCCCATGAGAAACCAGTCCCGATAGCTCTACGCGCGTCGCGTGCAGCTACAGCAAACCGCGCCAAACTTTCCACCGTACGGTGTGGCTGTTTACACGAATCCGATTTAATCGAATTCGCCTAATTCAGTGGCGCGTCCTCGAAATTCCAAGTCGATCCTGACGAAGCCGGCTGCAACGAAGGCAGCAATCTCTCCGTGTCGCTCGACCCGTTGCCGCAGTTTGCCGAACAACGAAGATTGGCTGGTTCGAGCAAATTTAGCGGGGGTCAAATTTGCATATTGTGGACTTAGGTCCGAGAGACGCGTAGAGAGACAAGAGAACAAGAGAGAGAGAGAGAGAGAGAGAGAGAGAGAGAGAGAGAGAGAGAGAGAGAGAGAGAG